TCGGGAACGTCTGAGAGCGTTAGCCACAGGTGCCTCTGCGCCACCACAGTAGAAGCCATTCCTTTCCCCAGAGCCAGCGCTGCACAGCGGGACACACYCAGGATGTGGTCTGACGCCAGTCTGATCTTGTTCAGCAGGAGTAAAAGGGGGTTTTCCTGCGGCATCTGAGCTGCCAGTTCAGTCTAAGGCCATGGCCTGGTAGGTGTGAAGCATGGTGATGGAGCTCAGCGCACGGGCGGTGTTACCTTGGGCTTTGTAGATTTTCTCCAGCTGTGCCGAAGAGAATCTGCAGGGCTTGGAAGGGAGCAGGGCGGGTCCGCTCACACCCTGGTTGTGAGACGGAGCCAAATAAGCAGCTAACGAAGGCTCCATCGGAGGGATGCCCACTAGGCCTGCTTYGTCTGCCCCTTCCACGTCCAAGTACTGACCCTGTCCGGGCACGAAGGCGCGGATGGACAGCAGTTTGCTCCAGGAAGACGTCAGCTCTGACACAAAGTCCGGAAACATAGGCAGACGGTGCTTCACATCAGCTGGTTCAGACGGGAGATAAAACCCTGTGAAACTCGACGGCTTTTGAGCAGGTGGGGGGTCGGGCCACTGTACCTCCAGTTTAGCAGCAGCTCGGCGGCACAGGGACAAGAAGGACGAATCCTGGTCCACCCTCGCAGCAGCGGGTGTGGAGTGAGCTGGGCACGGCTCCTCGTCGTCTTCGGACAGACTGAGAACCTCCTGCTCCATCTGCAGAACATCGTCCTCCTCTTGGTTTAGGTCCAATAGAAACTGGGTCTCGCCCKCCTCGATGTCGGGTGAAGCCGCCTCGTGCTCCATCTGGTCCGCCCAGCTAGCAGCGGGGGCTTCGACTGCCGAATCCTTGTCTTTGTCGGACTGAGCCGTCTGGCTGGATTCGGAGAGCAGCGTGTTGGAAAACAGCAGTTTCCCCCAGCATTTTCTCCAGGAATTTCACTCTCCTCTCCAGTGTCGAACGCGAAAGTCCGGCACAGGCCCGGCAGGACTCGGGCTCCACAAGCGCCCGTCGAGCGTGAATGATTCCTAGGCAGGCCGGGCAGGCCTCATGCTGGT